CAGCATATTTTCCACTGAAAGCTCAGAAAGCTCTGTGCACTGGACCCACATCTCACCCCCACAGCTGCTGCTCATCAGATCGGCTGCTCAGAAGCCCTGTGGGTGCCCAACAGTGATGATGCTTTGCTCTTGCCAGGGAGGAGCTAGGGTATGAAGTGTTTGCCTGCTGCTGCACCCAGACTGTTATTGACACCATTCTTACAAATGATCATTTGGTACAACAGTCATCTAGGCAATGACTATTCTTCTCATACAATGCATTTTGGTTCTTTGAAGACACAGTAATTGTTGGGAGCAGAGAGGTGGCATATGGCAGTCTTAAGTATGGTGACAAATGTCCTTAGCAAAACTCTGATGAAGAAGTGTGTGTCTCCATTTGAAGCACCTAATTTTCCTTTATGTAATACAGTAAGATTGCCCTCCTAAAGAAAGCAGAGAATGCCAATTGAAAACACTGCAGATCAGTGGAGTATAGAGAATGTTTTCCTCTCTGAATTCTTCTCGTCACTTCTTTCATTAAACAATTAAGAAATTTGCCAGCTCAAATCCAAGTACCTCAGACTGCAAACCTATAAAATAAGCACACAGCTGGAGTAACAGTAATGCAACATTTCAGGAAGTAAGATCAAACACCTTTTCTATCATTAAATCTCAGTTACTAGTTCAAGTATTAGGTATTTCTCAAAATAAGTGTGAAAGCAAAGCTTTCCTACCAGGAGACAGCTGTAGACATAATGTAGCATTCACGATAAAATACATTATACATATGCAAAACCACAAATAAATGTATGTATCTCTCTCTCTCTCTCTTTACCGTATCTTTAACAGGAGTTGACTTGCTTAGAAATGAGAGGAACTGCTAGACCCTCAGGACTGGCAAATTTAATATACAGAGAGGTGACAAGGAAACAACATTTCATTAACTCATTCTTTGAGAAAAAAAACCCACATAAATACTACTGAAAAACATAGAATTAAGTGAAGTTAAAGAGTAGGATTAAGTGAAGTTTTAATGGTGAGATCTCTGTTATACTTTTCAAAATCAGACATTAATCCCATCAAAATAATCAGCTAATTAATGCAAATCCTAACATGCTTGCTCCAAGAAGTCTTTATAACCAACGAAAACATATTCATAATTTATATGTTATAGACACAATATCCTTCAATGCTTGTTTAGAATTACAAGTTTCCCATAGAAAGAGCAAAGTCAATTTACATAAAATAAACAAATATTAAGCTTTTGGAGACAGTAATGAACCTTTAAATACATGGCGATTCAATGACTTCCTATCTTACCTACAGTGCAGAATGTTTTTTCTAACGGTCAGCTTGCCTGACCCATCCAAGGCAAAGCATCACCTAAGGAGCAGCACTGATTAATAAGGCACTCTCAGCCAATGCCAACACATGTGCCATGTCCTACAGACAAAGGATCACTGCTCCATTCATATTTTAGGCATCACACTTGGAGATGACACTTGTGGGCTCATTCATTATTATTATACTTTCTACTTGGTGTGTCTTAAAACTAACGGAACCATTAATGTACTTAATGTACTTGCAGTCCATCTCAGCAGTTCAGGGATTTAATTATCAATTACTTTAGAGTCAGTTGTGTGAGTATTATACACAGGCCAAACCACTGAGCTTATCAGTGCTGCTTAAGCAGACTGCTACATTATGAATGGCATGGCAAAGGGGAATAAAATCCTCATTACGAGGCACTGCTTCTGTCCTCGAGACTGTGCCACGGTGGTTTCAGTTTAAAAGCCTCTGTGGTACCTCACACTTTGTCACAGGATGGCAACTGCTAGATCCTTCTGTTTCCATTACCCCAGGGTGGGACTGAAATCACTAGGATTAGAAACTGGATTAAAAGCTCAGGATAGAGCTGCAAGAGATGCTGATTAGCACTCTTGAAGGCAGGACTGGTACCCTTGAGAGAAAAATACCTCCTAGTCCCCAGCTGCTTTTGCTGCAGTCAGCCAAGCCCTCACACGCCACAACACACGTGAGCAAGGGGCTTACCAGCACTGCTTCCAGCACGCTGACCATATGCTCATGCATTTCATTTGCTTATATTTGTAAATATGACTCTATTGAAGATATGTTTAATCCCGTTTCTCAAATACTGCATCAAAACCACTAATGCAGATTAAAGTTTAATACCACAACTAACTGCCAAATTAATGGAAAGTGATTGACAGAAAGCTGAAAATGGTGTTGGGTATCTTAAAACAATTGGCTAGACAGAGTCTGGCCCTGCTCTGAGCCCTTCCATGCCAGCTCTGGTGTGCCAGGGGCTACTGTCCCATCCAGTCCCTCCACGACAACCCACCTCTGGTCTGCGTTTGTGCACCAGCACGGACATGGACACAGAAACCAGTTCTCTGTTGCCCTCCCACTTCTGCACTTGTCTGCTGTCACTTGAGCCCCTTTCATGAGCAATTTATTCTTCTTAAAAGAAATTATTAAGGATGAAAAGACTGGTATGCTGACTTAGAAAGTTATACGTTGCTAAGAGAAAGATTAAGTCATTTGAGGTATACAAGGAAAAAGGCTTTGTACAAGGAAAAGGTTATTATAAGCCAATCTTGAATGGATAGTTGGGAAGCAAAGTGTCAAAACTAAAAGAACATAAAGTATCAGAAATACATGACAGATCAATAAGGGGAGGCACTGAATCAATAGAGAGCAATGGGAAATACTTTGTAACAGAATAAGACATTATAGAAAAATTAAACATGTTCTTCATTTCGCAAGGAAAATGGAAGGTGAGATGCCAGAAGGGAAACACTGTCCTGGGGTGGACAGTGAAAAACTAGAGACATTAGCAACCTCTCCAGAACAAGTCTTGGGTAATTTAAAATCAATAAAAACAGTCAGAGCCCAGAGACCAGATGAGACACATTTTGGGATCCTGAAAGAGAGGGTAGAAAGATTATTGGACTACCATGAGTTATCTTTAATAGCATCTTTGAAACAGCAAGGTATCAATAGACTAGAGAGAAACAAACAAAATAACAGTCTTAGAAAGGAAATTATGGAGAGCTATGAATTAAATTTGACCTCTAAAGCAGACAAGGTCCAAGAAATAATCAGTGATAGGAGAAAAAAAACCCAACTTCTGAGAAACAAGAAAACTTTAGGAAATAGGAATTTTAGTGGAATAAGAATCGCACTAACAGCCTGTGCAATTTTCTCATGTATACTTCCCTTTCACTGGCATTTTTAAAGTCAGGATTATAGACAATAAATAGGACTGATAGGCTGATACTGTTTAGATTTAGAATGTCACATAATGTAAGAAGACAGTACATTAATACATACAAGACAAGTTCCTACATGGATAAAAAAAAGGCTAAGGAAAAGTCATGACCGCAGTCATCAATGATGCAGGATAATTAAACTGGATGTATAAGAATCAAGGCAACGTCCATTTCTGAGGATCAAAAAAGACATCAGATTTTCTAACAGGTCCTGTTCATATATTTCTCTCATATCTGTGTCCCAGACTGGCTCCTGTTACACAACTATTTACCCTACTCATTTCCTGAACTTGCAGCCTCTTGCAATTGCATTGAAATAGAAAATATGATCCAATTGCTCTCTGCACCGATATTCCCATGTTCAGTGCTGACTGAACTCAACTTAGGGCTGAACTGGCATTTAGTGCCCAACGTGCAAGCTTGGAGTGTCTGACAAGTCACACACAGATGAGCTTCATCAGCTTCTGATAATGGCATCAACATAGATAAACTCGAGACAGTGGCAAGAGGCGCTGTGTCACAAAGAACCCTGATTTTCTGATAATCCCCAAATCCTGGCAATGTGTATTACTGACTGGTACCATTCTCTCAGGGTAAGTCAAGACACTGACCCATACCCATTCCACCTCTAAATTTCTTCTGCAGCTTAGTATAGAAAAATTGACACTGGAGAGAGAGAGTACTGGTTTCCAAATACCAGCAAGGAGGAGAAGACCCCACATTCACTCCAGATAGAACAAGAAGGAAAATTGCAACATAGGGGATTGGGTGAAACTCTAGGGAAAACTTTTAACTTGAAAGCAGGTACTGCACTGGAGCAGCCTGCTTTCAGAGGCTGCAGGATCTCATATTGAAGGTTTTAATAAATAGTTCTTCATGAAGAAGTTAAATAAACAGCTATCAGAAGGAATCCCGGCCTGGGGCAAGAGGAGGGACCATATGACCCCAAGTCATGACTTAACTTATCCCTTATGATTATGTTTTTAAAATCTCGGCAGACTTGTAGGCTGTTCAGCAGCTGTTATGTTTCACTCTGGCAATGACTGATTTTCAGTTGTCTCTGAACTTGCTGCTGTTTAAATGCACTCTGTTGAAACCTCCAAGCTTTTCCAGGCTATTAAGGAGTGTCCTATAGAAGTAATTATTATCTCTGTCTTGTGGCATTGTACACTTCTCCTTCCAACTTTGCTCTTGCTATTCACTCCCCTGTAATTCTGCCCAGGATCAAGCAGAACTGGGCAGCAGCTGGGAAGAAAAAGGCATTACAAATGCTGTCTCCAAAGAGGTGTGTACCAGGGCTTCCGAGTATCAAGATCTCTGCTGGCACATCTGAACACTGCCCATGCTTTCAGGGCACAGTATGCTGGGCAACGTCATATTCAGATTGAACAACGGGGTCCTCATGATGGAAGAAAACGTCCCATTATCTTTTTAGGACAAAAGCAAGGATTTTTCAGGCATGTACAAGGAGGAAGAAGATAAAAAAGAGCACACTGAGAATTATTACTAGAATTTATTCTCCTTCTTTGGCAATGACCCATTAAACAACCTCTGTGCAAGTCCCAGAGTCCCTAGTCAGACTTGCCTCAGGATAAAAAGACACACCTCAAAGAGTGCTGTTGGAGCTTTGTAGTATCAGGTCAAGATGTTGCACATTTTGTGATATTTCTGTCTGAAAAAAAATCTTATTGGTGACTACACTTAAAGGAAAGAAAGTTCATACTGTACCTGAAGCATCAGGATGATAGAGGCTGGGTGCACTCGTTATTTCTCCTTGCTGATGGAGACAGCTACCTGAGGATCTTTGACTTGCAATGAGAATCCTGCTTTTTGCAGATGGTAACCTGGACACTGCACCCAGTCCTAACTGTGGCTTGAGTATCATGGCAGATCGATAAAAACTTGGTGGGACCTCGTAGTGCGTATATGGTGGAGGGCAAAATTCATCTTTCGCAGGCCTCTCCCCAACCTACAGAAAAATCATTAACACAGATATTATGCAATAAATCAATAAAACCAGAAAATATGGAGCTCTAAATTGCTTATAAAGGCTAATTTTCCCTCCTCGTGAATTTGTGTTTCACAGCACTGCAAATTTATTATCTCTTGCAAAAAGTGATGGTCTTACCATATGAATCACTCTCCACAAATCCACACATTACAGGCTCAAAATCCAACCAAACCCAAATAAAGAACTGATTTCTTCCCAAAAAGAAAATAGACAAACAGAAGATCTTAGATTAGTGAAAAAGAAGTTCCTTTTAAGTCCTGAAAGGTGATATTATTTACAGAGGTAGGTATAGAAAGAGAATGTGTAAGTGGAACTTTTATTAGAAGCTATTTATAATATTCTGAGATACAATTTGGGGGAAGTCAGTTTTAACTTAGTTAAAAATAAAGCTGAAGGTATTTTAAGTTATTTTATCAGGGAAATGGTACTGTCAAATCATATGTGTGGGAAAAAATACCTCTTAATGTTCTTACTGCAAAATGTTCAATGTAATCTATGCCCCTGAAGTTCCTGAAAAGAGACCCAATTGTGAAGGTAGGGAGATTTCTGCATGTTACATTTTCAGGAGGCTGTTGAATATTCCAAATCAGAGCTATAAAACCCAACTGCCCATTTGAACTGGAGAAAAAAAAAAAAAAAGAAAATTTGTAGATGTGAAACATTTTTTATTTATCACAAAATAATGATGCTTTGTTAAAATCAGTGACAAATCTCTCAGTATTTTCATAGGTGTATGCTGTGAGGACAACACAGTAAGTCCTAAGTTGGAAGCATTTCCAGCAAACTGGCTTCTACCAGGGAACTTGCAGTCAGGAAATGACCTGGTTCCCCAACTCAGCCCTTGCATTTTTCTATTTTTCTACACTCAGGCTGAGCTCTGACTCCCACCTCGCCGTGCTGCTTTGTGGCTCAGGACATGAGTGCAGAGCAGTGTCAGTAGCTTTCATCTCTCTCATTTGCAAAGAACCGTTTGCTCTTTGAGGCAGAGTCCCACTTCTTTACCATTTTTTTCTAAAGTTTAGAATCATCATCATCTAGTAAGGACCCATTAATATTTTTTCAGTGCATCCCAGTTAGGTTAGAGAAAAAATTGGCTTCGGAAATAGGAAATCTGAACTATATTTGTTTAAAAATTAATCAAAAAAGTGCCACAGGCTACCTAGGAAGAGATGTAAATGCCAATTAATTAACTCTGCTGTAAGTTATGATGCATATAATATGCCAAATCAATTTCTATTTAGCAATTATAAGCATTTAGAATATGCACTTCAACATTGGCTATAAAAGCTTTGATCCTAGCTGCTTAAAGAGCTTTAATCCTAATTTAGCAAATCTTTAATATGCTAAAAGAGACAAGATTGGCTTTAAATATAGAATCTTTGAGGCCTCTGCACAGGAGCTAGAAGGGCAAATGTAACAAACACTGACGATTATATTTTTGCTCTACGTTTTTTCCTTTGTTTTCAATTTCCTGCCATTAGACATTCCTGTTTCCTTTTTTTATTATACTCCTGTGACCTATTTCTACAAATCAGGATGCAGGTTTTTACTGTATAGATGCCTCTCTAGGCTTGGATTGCAAATGTTTAGCTTCTTATTTTCAACTTCTGGACATGAGATTGGTTTCCTCGATCAGATTCAGTTATCTTTCTTCTCCCTGATTAATTTATTTCAATCAGATTTCCCTACACACTTCCTAACATTTCATATTTAACTGGCAGTGAATATACCAATGCCAAGTACTTCATATAAGGAATAGAGAAAATCTTTAAATATAGGAACCACACATTTTTGATACACTGGGTCAGTTTAGCCAAACCTTCAGTCACCTCATTTTTTTCTTTATTGACAGTATGCTACAAATAATAAAGAAGAGCAACAAACATATCACAGAATCACAGAATATTCATGGTTCGAAGGGACCTTTGAGTTCATTGAGTCCAACCACAAAAAAACCCCAAAAACAAACTAAAACAAAGAAAAAACCCAAATACAAACCAACACGCACACCCCCCCACACACAGACAAAAACCAACAATCTCGAGCACTAGAGCATGCCCTGAAGTGCCACATCTACATGTTTCTTAAACACCTCCAGGGATGGCGACTCCACCACCTCCCTGGGCAGGCTGTTCCAGTGCCTGACCACTCTCTCAGTAAAGTAATTCTTCCCAATATCTAATCTAAACCTCCCCTGCTGCAACTTCAGACCATTTCCTCTGGTCCTGTCATTATTCCCTTGGGAGAAGAGGCCAACACCCACCTCTCCACAACCTCCTTTCAGGGAGTTGTAGAGGGCAATGAGGTCCCCCCTCAGCACACAAACACAAACATGCACACAAACCAAATCAATCACAAGCATGAAACATCTTCTCTAGCTGAGAGAAGCAAGAAGGATTTATCCACCTATCTCTTCAAGACCCCAATTTGGGGGGACATAAACTTGCTATGAAAACACACTCTTTTTTCTTTTCTATTTAAGGGTGAATTCATGAAGTGTATAATTCAACTCATTGAAGCAGAATTGTGTGCAATTATTGGTAATAGGGCCATTTTAAAGATTTTTCAGAAAGATTTGGATTAATATGAGCCCTGTTAGCATCCTGTAGTAGATTTTTGTACCAGGGACTTTTTTAAATGAAATGATCTGTTGCAGCCCGCCAACTAAAAAGAAGCTCAGCGCAGAGTTTTATTGTGTGTGGCTGTCTGCTCATTCCCCACTCATCCCATTTAATGAACTTGTTAGAAAGAGCTGGGAAGTCTGCAGTCTTGGAGCATACAGGAATATCTGCAGGCTGGGTAATCCTGAGCAGAGCTGGCAGCATGGCCAGCACGTAAAGGTGTCCGACACTTTCCTTTGTGTTGCTTCATTTGTAACATCATCAAACATTAATGCCTTAAGCAAGAATTTTCTTGTCAAATGCCTGCTTCAGGCAACTATTTGGGAAAAGAGTTGGCAACGTCCGTTCAGGCAGTTCAGACAGTTCCGACAATGAGATTAGGGAGAAAAAATTGCTGGTTTGACAATGTATAAAACAACTCCCCCTACCCTTTTTTCCCCTACAGGCCTTTCATTTCAACAGGCTTTAGTCCATGCTCTCTGAAACAGAAAGATGTCTGTGCTGGAGAACAGACCCAAGAAGGTGGTTGAAAGGGGCAGGCGCAGCCTTGAGGAGGCAGGCAGGAGAGCTGGTGATCAGCAGACCTCCTCACAGACCTTCTCCAGAACCAGGACTCTTGGCAGCAGCCATACAGTAGTGAATAAAGTGAGCCAAGGACCACTCTCTGGCAAGGCATGTACCATATCCCTACGGGTAAACTCTCACCCTGCACACCGGGCTGGTCTCACCCTCATCCATGCTGGTCCTTGGGAACAGCCTCTGGGTGAGCACACGCCGGCAGAGGAGGACACTGAGCTGGGGAGTGTGCTCCCAGTCCAGCAGTATGGGCAACCTTGCATGAGCCTTGGAGGCCATGCCCTCCTGCTGCTCAGTTCACTAGCACAGCAACAGCCTTCAGTTTCCATGGTTTGCTCTGTTATTTCCCACAGAGGTAACTGGGAACACAAAGTGGCCACAAATTCCCACTGATGCTGACTGAGGCTGAGGTCCGTGTTGAGATGGGGACCTCACATTGTGATGAAGCATGTGGACAGCAGCGATTTGTCCTGGACAATGACTTTTTTAAAACATTCACTGATTCACTGTAAGGGGTTTTCTACCTTTTTTTTTTTGATGAAGACAGGCGTGACAGATCTACCTCCCCACCATGCCGAGGTTTCAAAGAAAAGCACTCGAGGAGCTGCCAACGCCACACGCAAGGCTGCTCGTTTAACCTTAACTCAATTCCATTAGGGACGCAGTCTCTAAGCACAGCTGGACTGCCTTCATGGCTGAGCTGGGATTTCTGTCTGAGCTGCCCTTAGCACAGGCAGCTGAAGGAATCCTGCAGGCTCCCTGCTGCGTGGAGGTAGCCCTCGAGTTTTCCTCAGACAGCTCTCTATGCCTTGCTCGGGAGTCTCCTGTCTGAGATAGCGTCCTGTGATTTTTCCGGCTCACAGCACCTAGAGGGGTATTTAATTGTTCCCACCATTTAGCTATCTGAAGGGTGCTTAGAGATTACAGGTCTGATTGATACCAGCTATTAACACTCCCTATCATAGCTATGTAAAGAGCTATAAAATGCTAATCAAAGCACTCCATAGCTCAAATTGGATGTGTGAAATAGGGCAGACTGGGATTTTTTTCCCTCACAAAGATAATGCAGCATACCCATCCTGCCCTACTGCCTCCTTGTCTCCAAAATCTCTGAGTCTTCAACACTACCCCTTCACCAGGGTGATTTTGATCATAGAATCATAGAATCATAGAATGGTTTGGGTTGGAAAGGACCTTAAAGATCATCAAGTTCCAACCCCCCTGCCATGGGCAGGGACACCTCCCACCAGACCAGGTTGCCCAAAGCCCCATCCAGCCTGGCCTTGAACACCTCCAGGGATGGGGCAGCCACGACCTCCCTGGGCAACCTGTTCCAGTGCCTCACCACTCTCACTGTAAAGAATTTCTTTCTAGTATCTAATCTAAATCTCCCCTCTTCCAGTTTAAAACCATTACCTCTTGTCCTATCACTACACTTCCTGACAAATAGTCCCTCTCCAGCTCTCCTGTTGGCTCCCTTCAGATATTGAAAGGCCACTATAAGGTCTCCCCGGAGCCTTCTCTTCTCCAGGCTGAACAACCCCAGCTCTCTCAGCCTGTCCTCCCAGCAGAGGTGCTCCATCCCTCTGATCATCTTCGTGGCCCTCCGCTGGGTCTGATCTGTCTCAACTCATCCTAAATGCTTTATTTTACATTACACATCAGCCATCTGCTATGAACCCCTACTGGGCACAGCTGCTCTTCTAACTATCTGTCCACTTCCATGGATCACTCATTTTCCTTTCACTTGATCCATACTGGAGCTAATATCCGTTCCTTCCCCCAGCTAGCAGGCAACTAAGGTACTTACTTTTAGGGTGGAAGTCCAAGAGAGCAAATACCATCCCCTGCTATCAGCTCCTGACTCCTGGCCTAATGTAAACTCATAATAAACTGCAGTTTGATTGACTTTTCCTTCCCAGCCTCTCCTCCAGGCAATCCAGCTTCTCTAAAGAAGCAGCATGCTTGGGTTCAAACCTTCCCTTGTTGAAATATCTACTCAACATCATATTTTTTGGAAAAGTGGAGGAAGATGCTTTGGATCTTCTCCAGCACGTGTCCTCCTTCTAACCCTAGTCTGGAATAAATCATGCTGCAGACTTGCCACAACCTGAGACCTTCTTATGTTAAAAATAGCCCTCAATGGTGCACAGAAATTGGTCCTTTGCTCCCAGATGTGTCTGCTGATCCTACCTACCTATCTGAACCCCACCTATTGTCTTCAGAGAGTCACGTCACCCTATAAACAGCCACAGAGTTGTACAGTCTGGGTTATTTTTTCTTTAATTTCCATAGCAATACATTAAACAGTAATAACCTAGTAATTTTCCCTCACTTTACAATGGGACTGTGAAGATATACTAATAATGGCTGGCATAGACAAACTCGCAATGACTTTAATAATTCCTCCCCTGGGAGCAAAATATAAACATCAGAGCTGGAAACTGAAGCTAGAGGGGAAAGGGCAGTGAGCACTGTCCTTTCTGTATTTGGGATGAGATGATGCTCAATGAATAGAGCATACAATATACAACAGAGAATCCATGATCACTTCAGCAGGTTGCCTGTTAACATGCCATAGAGGCCAATCTACACTCACACATGATCCCTTAATTTGGGTATTTGCTGGCTTTTGATTGTCAACACTGTCGCTAAATTTGGTGGTGGCTATTCCAACTCTGGTTCTTGGATAAATACTGTATGTAGAATGAGGCAGGCAATAAAATAGCCTCAATAACACCACAAGACACACAGCAATTTTTTTTTTCCTTTTTTAAAAGACTGGTTCAAATGAAATACACTTGTGTGATCTTCTTTATTTATATAAAATGTTTGGTTGTTGAGCTGCCACAGGCAGGAAGCAGAGGAGGCATGGGCACATTGCAGACGTGAATGTAGATCCCTTTTCCCTGTCCTTTCTCCACCTTCCAAGCTTCCTCCACTGAGTTCACCTCCCAGGAGGGATTTCAGAGAACCAAGCCTCCTGCCCAGCCCATCAAGGTGGAAACACAATGCAACAGCAATATTAGAAGCCAGAATTGGCCAGACAGACTTCCATGACCTTTTGGCTACTTGGGAAGGCTTTCCAAGGGAAAGGAGATTTCTTACTTAAGGTGTAGGTTAATATAACACATGGCTTTAAAATGAGTCAAAAGTAAATCTTTTCCCGCATAATATATATAATTTAACAGGAGCTCTGATAGTCCCTGGGTTTCAGTACAGCTAAACGGAAGGGAATTAGTTTAGACCTCTAGTGCTCTGTCTGCAAAAACCTGCCAACTTTCCCATTAAGGACGAAATCTCTGAGGAAAAATTACATTCATCTCCCCAAGCTATTATTTGGGAAACAAAAAATACATTTATGGATAAATTCAAACAGCATGTCTTTTCCTTTCTAAACATCCCTATTTATACTACTAGCATGTGACTGGTTTGCTGGGAAAAACTGGAGGAACACAGTGACAGCTTCCAGTCACAGATTAGACATTGCAACAGGGTCAGTGCCAGAAACAGTTAAGTAAGTTTATTTCTAATGATCACACATTGCCTTGATTTTGGATTTATTTCTTACCTGAGGTTTGAGAACTAACTTCTGGCAGCAACAAGTAAGAAAATGATCACCACCTGGCATAGAAAAGATGCTGTCAAAGTTGCCTCCTTACCTCCTGCAGAAACTTCTCACTCATTGGACCGAAGTGGTGGCCAGGGGGCCTAATTCCTGAAACCACAACACCAGAACTGAAGAGTCTTGGTTTCTGGAGGTCAGGTTTAAACTTTTCATACAGGATGCTGGGGGGCTTTGCCTCCCCTCCATTGGACACCTTCTGCTCGGTAGAGGTGGGCATGCCACAGGCAGGGGTACCAAAGGGCAGGCCTGCTGGCGCAAATGAAGGCTCAAGCTGCTCTATGGAACGAGGGTTTCTCCTAATGTATGTGATGATTTTAGGTCTCACAGGTTTGGGCCTGGGTATGGCAGGTTTTATCTCAATGCTTTCTTCCAGCTTTTCACTGCAGTCACTGTCCACATCCACCTTATCTGTGAGGGAGCCCTTGGAGTGAACCAGGATAGGTTTTGGGATGGCGCTGCTGCAAGCAGTCTTGATAGGCACTTTAGGGGATATGTTTAACAACTGCGTACTGTCAATGGGAGGTAGGACTGAGGAGGGTGACAGTTTGTCAACATGAAGTGCATAAAGGTCCTTCAAATTACTGTTTGATAGTGTGGGCTGACTATTAACATCCAGTGTTGCCACCGGGCGCACAGGGGTTGGGACACATAAAAAGGCATCAGCCTTTGCTGAAACCTTACAACTCTCTGGTGTTTCGGCTGGAGGATGTTTCTGTGCATTAGCTGTCTTTTTACTTGGAACTGAAAAGCTCGGGGTTTCTGGATCGCTGTCATGGTTGTCAGGTTGCTGGTTTGACACTGTGTCTGTACTGCACGCCCCATGCTGATCTGAGAGATCAGAAGCAGGCATGGCAGCATCCTCAGTGTTTCCTTTGACTAGCGTCAGTTTATTCTCATTAAATTTCAAGGGTTTGCTGTCAGGTAGATTAATGTTATGTGTAAGAGATATCTGTTCACCAACTGTTTCAGTGCAACCTGTGTCAACTTCATGTAAATTTTCATTTTTTCTAGGTGTCACTTTGTCACTGGATTTACTGTCGCGGGTGAGTGGGAATATTGTTTCCACTTCTTCATCCGTAAAATATTCTTCACCAGCCTGGCTAGTTGCCCTTTTGTCACTATCACTGCTTCCTCTCCCCTCCCCATGCATGCTGCTGTTATCACTTAACAATTTGTCATCAGGGTAGGTTACCACCTGGTTTGACAAGGGATCCTCTACTTTATTACAGATGTCTTGAAGATGAGATGCTTGAAATTTTGATGCGTCAGACCCAGAGCCTTTCTGTTCCTGTGTTGCTGTATTTTCATCTTTTTGACATCCCAAGAACTCTACCAGCATAATTCTCTCAATCTTTTGTTGACACGTATTTTTAGATTGTAGAGAAGGTGCAGTCTTAAGCTCCAGTTTTTTACTTTTATCACCCTGACCTAATTGTGCTTCTGATTTACTAGCAATCTCATTGGGCTTAACAGTTGAATGTTGAGAATGAGAAGTATGCAGTGTGCTTTCAACATTAACATTTGGTACATTTTCTGGTTTACTTATTTTCTTGTTCCCTGAGGTAGATGGTTTGGAATAACATACAGTATTTTCCTCTGAGGTATTGTCAAGTGGATGAAACACCATCCCAAGAAAATGATCCGTGGATGGTTTTTGTGATTTTTCTGTATTTCCTATCAAATGGTGCGACCTGTCGATGGAGTCCAATGATGCAGAAAGCAGACGTTTACACGACACGCGGCTAACAGAGTCTTTTGCAAATGTTTCAGACTGAGGAGAGAATTTATTTGGTCTTCCCAAAGAAAGCCTTTTTATTCTCTCCATCTCCACAGTCCTGGGTATTTTACCCTTTGAAAAGTTCTGGGTGAAGTCAACATCACCTTTGGAAATAACCTCCAGGTTGGCATCATTTGTGCTGCTTTTTAAATTGGACAGACTTTGTCCTCGGCTAATCCTGATATGCCTTGATATATTCTTAGCTTCGCTAGTCCTGCAATCTTTCCCCATTTCCTTGCTTGTGGTGGTGGGCAGCTTACTTTCCTGTACACCGGTGTGACAGGTCCGAGAGTCTTTGAAGGTCAGAAGTTTGCTCTGCTCTGTATTCAGATGGGTAACTTTCTCTGATCCTCCAGTGTGTATATTCCCATCTATCAAATCACGTTTCTTAACGTCCCTTTCAGTGGTTCTAACTTTTGTCACGATTTGGTTGGCATTGGGATCCCCCACACTCACTATGCTTTCATTATTATTTTTTATTTCGCTGCAGTTATCCTGAAGCTGGGCATAACATGACTTGTTTGGGATTAACGGAGCACTCATTTTGAAGCTTCAGGTGACTGCTTTTTTCGCCAGTCCTAATTAATGAGAAACCTTTTTTCCTTTCCCTATAAGGTTAACTATTATGCATGCTTCAGTTATACATTTAAATGATAAACTGATCAGTAGAAAATTCCTTGACAGAAAGCTTGTCAGAGTCACATTTTTGTGCTGCGCAGTTGTCTTTCATGCAGCCTCTGGATCTAGGAAATCCTTATGACATGCAGTAGAGAGGTTCAACGAAAGCAAAATAGATCAGTGAAGTTCCCTCTGGATGAAAGCCAGTTAATCCAGGCAACCTATGGAACAAAAAACAAAACCAACATAAACAGCGTTACACTGATGTCAGGAATCATGCTAAGTAAACCAAAGGTAAAATCAGCAGGACTCCCAGGTACATCCCCAGGCCAGAGCACTTTCAAACACTTTAGATGCTGGTTCGATCACAGCTTTTCTCTCAGCTAAGATTCTTAGTGTAGCACAGATCTCTGACTTGAAAAGTTACACAGTTAAAACTGCCCTGGTTAGTAAGAGCAGTTGCTACTGTTTTTAAGCCACATGGATTTAAAACTGGAAAAAGGCATAAATATCTAGAGGAGGGTGGGACCCCACATCAAGGGTCTAAGCACTTTCTTATTGCTATAACAATGTCTTTAATACACCAAGAGTGGCTACTGATGCATTTAAAGCACCACTGTATAGACAAGATGTAAGTAATAAAATTCTAGCTCCATTAGAGGACGTATATGGGTTTCTCTCCTTGCCTTATACAAATCACTGCTGTACTTCTGCTGACACCCTTTGACATTTCTTAGCTAGATCTACAGATCCCAAGAAAGCAAAAGCTATGGCTGGAGGCCTGCAAAGAAAAACTGTGTTTTTCTGAAACATCTGTATATGTGTATGTTCAAATATAGAAGATGACACACCAGTCCTAATACACGGCAGCTCCTTTTGTCTCTCTTCCCCCTGGGCTTTGGGAGCCCAGATTTTGTTGTCCCTCACCTCCAACAAAGTGAAGGGGCAATTTCTGTCAGTGCCATGCTGAAATTCATTCTCGCAGATATTTCTGTATGTTCTGTGTGTTCTGTATGAACATATTCTGATATGTTCATACCCTTCATAATAAAGAAATATGGACACTGGAAATTTGAAACATGCTCCTGGGTGCAAGTCTAGGCTTGTGTTTCTGACACCCACTATGAGCAGGTCCTCCCAGCCTTTGCATTCAGTTCAGCTCTGCTCACAACATCTGGCTCTGAGCTCAGATCCAGTTTCTTTATACAGCACACACAAATGTTGGTTGAGTTTGGATTCAGGCTGCTGGCATAGTTCCAGCTCTTCAGCAAACAACAACTAATTAAATTAATTAATGAAACAGAACACAGTATTAAGAATTTCACTTGAACACCACAGAATTGTGTTATTATAGATCTCATTCTCACAGTATTGTAAAGCAAGACTTTTAAACTACTTCTGCATTCTTTCCTTATTCCCAGAGAAAAGAATTGAATACTTATTAAATTAAATACATACATTATGGAGTTGTTCTTTTTTTTCAGCCAAAAATGACAACACCAGAATTACATATTCAACCTGAAAGCTGAATTCTAAATGCTCTTCAATGGGCAAAGAATGTCCCTTTTTATCTGTTTGATTAGGTAGGAGGGGGCATTGATGGGCACCAGAGGGAGCTGGGGCCAGTCAGCTCATGTTTCTCTCTCAGATGGCAAATGGCAAAAACCCTTTGGTACCTAAAGTGAGGACCACAAAAACAATCAGAGGCTGGAACACCTCTCCTATGAAGAAAGGCAAATTTTATAGAAAGAGTGGTGAGAAAAGCTTTGGGGAACTGAGAAAAAGATGCGGGGACCTCATGTTCATCTTTCTTATACTACCTTTTCATCTTTCACCAAAAGTGTTACCCAATGGCCCCAAACTTTTGGTTTTGGTGAGACTGTGGTCAGTTGACCATGGCTGGCAGCCAGACACCCACCCAGCTGCTCTCTCACTCTCCTTTCTCAACACCACAGGACAGGGGGAGAAAACAGGATTAAAAAGTTCATGGGTGGAGATAAAGACAGGAAGATCACTTACCAAGTACCATCACAAGCAAAAGAGACTTGACTTGGGGAAAACTAATTTAATTTAAATTAAAACAGAATTGAATGGTGAGGAACAAAGATAAAAAAACCTAAAATACCTTCCCTCAGACATCCTTTTTTTTCCCCAGACTTAACTTCACTCTTTCTTTCACAGCTCTTCTGTCCCACCAGTTGCTCCTTCCCTGCCTTGTGCTCTCAGAGACACTGAGCCTTCGGATGCTATGGCAGTACATATAAATAAATTGCTAAATGATGATGATGATGTACATTAATCCTAAGTACTATCTCAGGCTGCTACTATACCAAATATATAAGTAGAGCAATACATTAATTTTCTGCTTATTTTCTTTTCCAAATCTCTTACATGGTTTAGAACAAGTTAATTAAGGCATTTAAGATTATGAACATGGTAGTAAAAGGTCATTGGTTCCCTTGCTTTACACTGTCCCCAATATGATCAGTAGCATTGCAAATGAAGATAGTTTTGAAAAAAACATCATGGAAATATCTGTATTCATTCAAAGCATCTTCACACACAGCAGGTGAGACAGGCCATGTTGGTATACTTCAGAGACCAGACCAAATAATTTGGTTTAATGTTGCTGGTACAATTGATCAACATGAGGGTCAGGAAAGATCTGCCCCCTCTCAAAAACAGGGCACTGCACAACTTCAGTATGCTGCCCATTGAGATCAACCTCTTAAAGCAGTCAGTGCTGGCTGGAGACACAGACTTCAAATATATGTGTAATTACAATTCTTTTAACAGAACAGACAATAAAATACTGTCTAGGCAGAGATTAATCTTAGGTAGCGTTAGTGCTGCTCCTGTGCTTCCTCCAGGGTCAGTAAGAAGGGACGGGCACCTTGGAAATGTGGTTCATCCTGTGCTAAAACCCTCCAGGATGGACTCTATGCACCTGATCTTCCAAGTCTATCTCTTCTGGTGACATCCAGTCTCATATTAAGAGTGTCACAAACTTGAAGAACATATTACATCCTTACACTTAGCATCCATACAATTACCTAAAAAGATTTTCTTGTCCAAAATATTGCCTGTTTATTTGCAGGTTTTTTTACAGTTGCTATCACAATGAACACACTGAACAATTATTCTATGTATGAAAATAACACAAGGCGACATTCTGCTATAGAACATACTGACAGCCCAGGACTCTTGCTAAATTAGTATAAAAATATAACCAAGTACCTAAGTAAATTAACAATTTATTAATCCAGTTTTCTGTGTTAAGGAATACAAACTTTCAATCAATGTAATAAAGACTTATATACTGTGATAGACATATGGGAGAGAAGATGTATGGTTTTGTGTTACATTTGGAAACTTAGAAGATTTGCTCTTCTATAGCTTCTATTTAAGAAGCTTTGGCTTGGATTTTCTGCAGGACAAGTTTATTTTACGTGGCACTGTCTAGGCTCAACTTCACTATTCTCTTTGGAATTAGTGAGATGAAAGGACCCAGCTGTGCCTGCATTCTATTGGCTTTTCCTCTATTTTTTATTGCTCCCCTTTCTAGACTGATGTTGGCTGACATACACACACCTAAAGTCACTCCCTGCTGTGTAGAGGCTCTGAGATTACAAAGATGTGAACCTCCTGACTCTTCAGATTAGTTAGTGCAGGAGCAGGGGGTAAGAGGAGACTCAATCCCAGCAGCGTCTCACTGGGGACCCTGGACAAGAAACATGACTGCAAGTCTTAAAGACTGACTTGGTACATGTAAAGCTTGACATAGGTAAACATTTCTTGATACTGTATAGTGTAAAAATGTCCCCTCTGAATTGCAGAGTGGAAAATGAAGTCATAGCTCTCCATGTCACAGCATCTTGGCAGGATGCAGTAAGTATATTTGTGAAAAAAGCTTTACAAAGTAAAGTGAAATGAACAGGCTAGGCAGCAGAATAAAATGATACCCACCAGACTATGGTTAAATATGAATCCCGTAGGGCAGAGAAAATTTCAAGAAGCCAGAAACATAATTATATACTTTTTTTTTTTTAACTTCAGCAGTATCAGTTCCCTTCTGAGATGTCTGTCGCTTAGGAACCTCTATTCTAAATCTGAGTCCATTTAATGATGATCTAGGAAAAAAGCCTACAAGTGTTTCTTCCCACCTGCTATTGCAGTTTCTCTCCTAAGCTCTGCTCCATCCTAAACTGTATTTAGCCATTAGGTCAGGAAAAAGAAAGCAGTGGCCTACTTCTAAATAGTAACAGCAGCTTTTTTTTTTTGGTTAAACAAGCAGCGTAGATATATTGTTTTCCCCTGTAGGCACAGAATAAAAGAAAATTGGTAAAACATTACCATGTTATTGGCTGGCTGTTTTGTTTTCAATTTGCCACAAAAATAGAAAAGTAATAATTATGAGATATGCAAAGGAATCATCAAAACACATGGAAAAATAAAAGGGGAGATAAAGAAATAAAACCTGAAATGTGTTAAAAAGTTTGGCTCCTGTATAAACATTTCCTAATGCAGGCTGTCACAGCTGCTTACCCATCCTTGTACTGAAAGTCTAGAACCAGAATATTTACAGCAGTAAAAACATCTGGTTGTACCGCCAACACTGTGCACAGCTTAGGCTGATTGTTCTTTCTGTATAAAGTGTATGAAAAGCACCTGTATACTTTACATATTGGGCTTGCATGGCCAGGTTTTGGTAGCAGTGGGGCTGCAGGGGTGGCTTTTGTAAGAAGCTGCTAGAAGCTTCCCCATGTCCGATAGAGTGAATGCCAGCTGGCTCCAAGATGGACTCACCGCTAGGAAAGAGCACACCAGTCACGGCGGTAGCATCTCTAGGATAACAAATTTAAGGGGGAAAAACCTCTGTGCAACTGCAGACAAAGAGAGGAGTGAGAATATTCGAGAACAACAACTCTGCAGACACTAAGGTTGGTGAAGAAGGAGAGGGAGAAGGTGCTCCAGGCACCAGAGCAGAGACCACAGTGATGCAGGTTGTTCACCTGCAGTCCATGGAGGTCCGTGGTGGAGCAGATATCCACCTGCAGCCTGTGGAGGACCCCACGCTGGAGCAGGTGGATGTGCCCGAAGGAGGATGTGATCCCGTAGAGAGTACAAGCTGGAGCAGGCTCCTGGCAGGACCTGTGGACCCATGAAGAGAGGAGCTCATGCTGGAGCAGGGGAAGAATGGAGGACTCTCCTGTGGGAGGGA